TCAGCAGAGATAAAAACAGCAAGTGAGAGCAAGGGACAGCACACCACTAGTACAAACTGATAATGTCTTCATAACATCAATAGACAAGAGGAAAAAAAAAGAATTCTGCATTCCACAAATTCTTTCCAGTTTTAACTTCTTCATGTTTCTAATTAATTTGTCATGAGGCAGGGAAGTGGTCTCAGGAGAAAAGATCTCTCTTGGTTTCTTTCAGCTGCCTTTCCTGCTGTATGTCATGTTGAAGTCCAAAGTGCATTAGAAATCTGATTTGTTATGCTGACCAAAACTGACAGATCCAATCCAACATATAAACATAGAAAACCAAGTACATACAATTATAATGATGTTCACAAGACCCCTGATGGATCAGAATTATCTATACAATGTATCATACTGATACAAGATGGCTTGTTTCCCAAAGAAAAATCCCATCAGAAGTGAATTTTATAACAGTATATGAAAAAAAAAAAAAAATCTGCATCCTAATTGCTACTTAATTCAAGTAGAAGAAATATCCAGATAATATAGACTGATACCCTGATGATGTAACATACTCACAAAAGTGCTGAACTAACTTATAAAAGTTCCCATAGTTACTACAGGTTATAAAAGTAAGCTTGAGCAGGTAGAAGGGTATACTTCTACCCAGTACTTTTATTATCTCCTAGCATAAAATATAACAATGGTGTATCCAGGTTTAACTAAAATATCCTGCTTTGTGATGGTGAACTGATGGAGTAATCAGGAACAACTAAATATATCATGGTTCTTCAGGTAAACAAGATGTTGTGATAAATGTTATTCCTGCAGTCAAAAAACATTCCTGCCTTAAGGAAAGAAAAAAACTACTATGAACAAAAACTGATCCCAGTGAAGTCCATTGCAATATTCTGGTAGCTGTACTCTTCAGATACCACCTGAAATTGCACCAGCTGTATTAAAAAACTTAATGGCTGTTTTTTACAGTGAAAAGGAGTGTCCTTGGCAAAGGACTATTTTGTAGCTGTTTTTCAGTCTTTTATGATACTTTCAGAAAGAAAAAAAAATTAGCAACTAGAAAAGATACTGCAACAGGTCCAAAAAGCAATGCTGACTATGCTGTTTTAAGAAGCAGGTGTTGCAGTAGTAAGAGACTAAATGTCTGCAAGATATACTGGAATAGTGGTTTGTTAAACCTTGTGTGGCCATATTCTTCTAAAATTCAGCAACACAAGTAAAACAAAAGTCCTTTAAAGATGTTCTGTTGTGGTTTGCATTCATTCTAGACTTTTCTCCACTAAGAAAACAATTAATGTAGTATAAGCAAAGGAAACCATAGATGCTTTAGGACAGTATAGAGACAAATAGCTTTAGGTTTCATCTCCTACTGTCCCTGCAGCCCTTTCAGAGATCTGCTGCCTATGTGTGGAGAGAAGCTGCAGAGAGAGAAAACCAATTCTGCCTTTTATAGAAGGGTATTAAATTGTACAGCCAACTATACAGGACAGTCTACGATGTAATAATGGTTGAAGCTGGATAGATGGGTGAGGGCCACATTTCAGGCTGACTGCACATGCACCTAGAATCCTGGTCCTTTCTTATTTGCTTCGGCATTGCACTGGACCAACACAGCAAACACTGATTGCTTGGGATCTAACAACCAGATCTGCTGACTTTGTGGGAACAACATAAATTTGGGTCCCTGGTATGTGGTTTGAGAGTTGTTGGCAAGGCAAAGTCTGGAGGCTATGGGGAATCACAGCCCTTGGAGAGGGAAAAGCTAAAAATCAGTGGTGACTATGATTTATTTAAGTATGCCAAAATATGTTACACTTATCAGCCATATTTAAAGCATGAAAGAAGGAGCAAAACAAGCATTTTTTGATGGCATTTCAATTTATATACAGTCTGTTAATTATTGCATGTTCTCATTAGCATATGTTCTGAGTGAAACCAAAAGTAAAGAGATGAAGTCCTATTTGTGTAGAGTGTGCCTGTATTTGAAAATTCAGATTCATATGTAAGGGAGGCTGGAAACAGCCCAAGAAATGTACTTAAGTAGCTCTTCCTGAAAAACACTGGTAAGAATTATGTTGCAAGAAGAGATGCTCATGTTCTCTCTGTGAATGCTAAAATAGGTAAACATAAGGTCATGCACCTATGTCAAAAAGGGAAAGAAAGAAAGGAACAGACCAAGACATGCTCTAAAATACAACCATCCTCTGAATCATTCAGTGACTCTGGTAGATGATATTTTTTTTGTCTTTTTAGTCCTTGAGGCAGAGGAAGTTCCTTCCACTGTGCTTTACAAAAAGTTAACTGAACCATTAATGATTAACAAATAAATAATCCTGTCTATAGACAATTATCTTTCCCCTTATGAAGTCACTTCCTCTCTCACTGTAAATCTGCCACACTATTCTGATAGCAATTTTGGTAAGTGAGATCACATCTGAATTTTAGAGGTTAGTCTGGGGTGAATGAACGAAAGAAAATGCTGTCATGAAATCTAAGACCTTTGGGTATACCTGTGACAACCTGGAACTTGAGATGGTTTGCTGCTGGAAATCTTTAGTATTTAAAGGCACAATTCACATGAGCCTCAAATAAAGCAATAAAAGATGCTGCCTAGTGTGGCTTTTTTTCCCCCCACTCATTGTGATGTACACTTTAAAAATGTTTGTTTTTCATCTATTATTTAATAATCTAGTACAATCTTTACTACTGTTCAGGGAGATGTTGTTAGACAAATAGTTTTTTGTTGTCTTTTTATCTTTCCGTTTTTTTGTGAAAGCAAATGGAGTCTCTTTATGCCATTAACCAAAGTGACTTGTAAACAAAGAGGCAATTTAACAGCATCCCCACAGCATTACATTCCTACTTAACCCTGAAAAGACTGTGCAGTGTGAAAACTCAAATGATCAGAGAGTTGTTCCTTTTGCTAGGATTCTGGTAAATAAACTAGTATTTTTAAAGATGTGTAATTGCACTTTTTTGCAAATACATTGTTCAAGAATATAATACCAAAAGCAAGAAGCCTTTACAACAGCCCTTCTATCCAGCCTGCACCTCTGATTGATTTCTTTGCTTTACATAACATTCATTTAGTGGAAGTGAATGATGAGCATTGTCAGAACTGCAGTGTAAACCAGAGCATTTCAAGGAAAGGAAGCAAGCTGTAACATTAAAGGAATTTGAGGAGTGCAATGGCTGCTCTGTAGAGCATCAGGGCTATTTGCATTCACTGTATTTGTTACAAAATATATGTTTATTTTCTATTAAATTACCTCCTGCAGTATTTACTACTCTCTCAGTTTGGTGTGTTAGTGATCTACCCATTATCATTTGCCCTGTCCCCCAAATGTACCATAGGTTTTTGTTACAAGTAAAACAAAAGTGCCATATAATTCAGTCTGCTTTCTGACAGATCATTCAATATGTGTGGAAAAATTAAAATTGGGAGTAAAGTAAGAAGGAAACAAGGGTTTCCACTAGCCCTGAGGTCATCCTATCTCTTCACTGCTTGCTTGGACAAAGCTATTATAATTATTCTTTTTCTAGAATAAGCATATTTTTGCCCTTTTCAGCAAACACACTTATGTTTTAATAGTTACTGCTATTTTCAGCCTTGTATATGCCAGAAGCTATAGTTGGTCATGCCAGTATTCATTAAAAAGTCACATCCACAAACTTTATTCTTAACATTTGTTTACACTTCATGTGATAGTCATAACATTTAAAATTAAATACAGGATTTAAAGCATAATTGACACCACCAAATGTTATTTTTACTTACTAATAAGCAGAATAACAGATAATGCTCCAAACTGAGCCAGTTCCTTAAAGCAAACATAAAGGCTCCTTCTACCTCTGTAGTAGAGTTCTATTAATGAAAATGTTGGTTTTTCAATTTTATTTCTTCTTTTCAGGAGCACAATGTTATACCAACTCAGAAACTTGCTGTGTTTTTACTCTGGCAATGTACAAAAATCATAGAAACATAGAGTGTACTGAGTTGGAAAGGATCCATCAAGATCATCAAGTCCAACTCCCAGCCCTGTGCAGGACACTCCAATCACACCCTGTGCCCAAGAGCATTGTCCAAATCCTTTTAATTCTGTCAGGCCAGGTGATGTGAGCACTTTTCTGGGGAGCTTGTTCCAGTGCCCAACCACCCTCTGTGGTGAAAAACCTTTTCCTGATATCCAATCTAAACGTCCCTGACTCAGGCCATTTCCTTCCATCCTGTCCCTGGTCACAAGAGTGAAATCAGTCTCTACCCCTCCTCTTCCCCTTATGAGGAAGCTGAAGACTGCAATGTGTTCTTCCCCAGCGTCCTCTTCCCCAGGCTGAACAAACCAAGTGGCCTCAGCTGCACCTCATAACCTCCAAACCCTTCACCATTCTCCTGGCCCTCCTTTGAAAGCTGTCTAATAGCTTAATGAGAGCACATAGAGCATAAAGAACTTGCATATCCATTACTTCAATGACTTTACTAATTAGTAACAGGTATCTATAGTCTACCAACAGGGAAAAGTTTCTACACATAACTAATTCTCCTTATAGTCTGCTTATTTATTTTGTTTTTTCTATATACAGCATGGTCTCCCTCTACTGTTCATTAGCTAGTTTTTAGTTCATTCCTTTTCCTTTCTTTTAACTGGAAAAAAGCTTCATGCTCTCCACCTCTGTCCACATAAGAAAGGACAAAACCAGTGATTGTGTTACTTTCCCAGCAGAAAGCACTGGAAGAGCAGAAATGCCTTGCTTTTAACAGAAGAAACAAAAGCTTTAATTCCTACCATCAAAGGAAGCAGACCAGTTACCTATCTTAAAACACAGCAGGCTTCCATCTAAATCACTAATGCAGGAATTGCCACCAGCCCTCAGGAGCCCTGACAGCCAGAACATTCCTGCTGTTTTAATGAGGAGGAGCACAATGCTCCACTTCACCATACAAGCCATTTTCCCACCCAGTTAAATACAATACAGCTATTAAAAATAGAAGAAATAAGACTTACTCAATAAAGTAGACTTCCCCCTTTTCTGTATAAGCCATTTCCCAGTTATCAGGCAGTGGGCCCAAGTCATCATTCTCTTCAGGTTTAGTCTGTTTTGTTACATCCATATCCTCCTTTGCTTCTTCAGGCTGACCATATCCTGGTGCAGGACAAGGCTGGGTGGTAGATGCCTCACCCGAGACAGCTGTACTCTTCTCTTCATGTTCACTTGATTCTACAAGAGAAGAAAAATTACAGGTTTTGGATATCCAAGTTAATGGTGAAGAATTTACTGGGTACGAGTCTCTGGGAACTGCAAGTCTTGAAATAAAGAGAAAAATTCTATTTGGTTTACACAAAGGCTCCTCTAATGATGCATTTTCTTTGGAACACAAATAAAGAAAATAAAGGAATAAAACCAAACTGAAAGAAGAGACTAATAAAGAGTTCTGGCTCATTCTGTCCCAGGAGTCCTTCCAGACTAGCAGTAGTCTCTGAGCAGAAGGCAGCTTCATATCCAGCAGCTCTACTGTCTCATGTCTTAACTTTTCAAGCTATACCCATAAACACATATATATACCCATAAAACAACTGCCCCACTGTTTTACTACAGACTACAGATCATTTTCATGTAAAAATGCATGTGCACTAATTGCTTTATGTGTATCCATATATCAAATAAACCACTGACATCCATCAACTCACAACAATATATTAACCATATAGAAGGTGGTTGTGATTTCATTGTTGATACCACCTGTAGAAAGCTTAGCTTCCCACAGCCAATGCTTCAACATGTTAACACTGCAGTCTACAGGAAAGTTCAAGAAGATGACAATTTATTAAATGATCTAACAGTGCACCCAGAACAAGGAAATAGGATACCTGCGTGAAACATGTAGGAAGGTGGAAGACAGCTTGGGTGAAATGTTCTAATTAACAATGCTTACAACAGCAAGAAAGAAGAGCAACAAAAAATTAACAAAAAGCTGTTTATAAAGGCCTAGATTTTAATTAACTTACAGAATCAATAAATGAGCTATTATGGCAAGCAATGGTAAGAGATAAAAAGTTTAGGAGAACTAGTAAAGATTGAATAAGCAATGCTCAGAATGCAAGTACAAATTTTTAATGAAAAAGAAAAATAGTAAGTATAATCAAAGACAATTTTAATTAAGTCATGAATTTGCAATGAGCTGCTACTTGAGACAGAATTGTACAAAAGGTGAAAACTAGACTAAATTGTTAAGGATGAACACAGAAAAATAACATGGGAATCTAACAGCAAAATAGAAGTCAGTCTAGAAAGTCTGATAGGGTCAGAACATTAGGGCTAACAAGAAAACTTTCTTTCTGTAAGTGCAATTTAATAATAATACCACCAAAAGCAGATTTTTTCTACTATATGGGAAGGAAGGAAAGCTAATAGTTTATGATGCATAAAAACCCCAGAGCAATTAGTGCTCTTTTTGCCTCAGCCCCTACTACCACAAGAAAAAAAATCACCCGTGATTAATTGACTAACATAATTAATATCAGCAATAGGGCTAAGGAAGGGGCAGTGGGCAGAGAACAGGTCAGGTGAAACTCAGATGACCCAGCTGCTCTCAACTGGCAGAGCTGGATGAAATGGAGCCTAGGGTACACAGAGTACCACATAAGCAGACTCATGGCAAATAATGGCAACACCTTCCAGACTTCATGGGGAAAAGAAACTTGGAAAGGACAAACACAACCCTGGTTTCAGCAAAATATATAAGATTTAGGTTTTTAGATAGTTTTATATTCTTAAATCTGAGTGCCTTAAATTTCTTCTGAAATGATTTGCTCAATTAGGCCATTTTGTCTTTTTGTAAAAAAAGGAGGAGGAAGACCCATGAAACTGTAACTGCACATCTTTCTCTTTTTTATTCCTAGGATTGGAAGTAAGAATCAAACCACCTACATGTAAACTCTTCAGAGGTCATAAATAACTGTCAAGATTTTTCAGGAAGAAATTGTGTCAAACTAATCTTTTTTTCTTTATATGACATAGTAAAAAGTGTTGCTTCTTCAGCATAAATGGTATATGCAGTTTTCATTATCTTAAAAAATACTTTTGACACTGACATATCAACTCTTCAGAATAGCATGAGAAAGAAAACCAGATTCAACCTTGGAAAGGGTAATCATCTACATCTCTACATCCACATGCAGCTCTTGTTGCTAAATCCTAACTCATGCTTGAACTATGTGGAATTACAATCATTTTATGCTGTTTGGAAACATGAATCTGTCTTCAGCATTTTCAGATATGTAAAAGCTTCCTGCAAAGCAGAGATGATGTATGGTCCCCACTTCCCCTGAGAATAGGACAATGTAATAATTGCTGAATAATTTTGAGGGTGTTTTGTTCTTATCTCTGAAAAACAAAAGTCCTCATCTACTTCAGGCACTATTAACAGATCTGTGAGTTGTTTTACTGAGGCTGGCTGCAGCCTTGACTGCATCTCCACCACAGGAAGGAAGACATGGAGATTAAACTGAATATAAGACAAAGTCACAAGACAGATATAAGCAGAGTAGAACAAACTCATTTGGGCCAGAGATACATTACACACAATGACTATTGATCAGCCAATGTGTCTGACAGAGCACAGATGTGGTGACACTGCTGTGTCATTCCTGGGATTTTACCATATCTCTAATATGTGTTCTTCCTCAAGATCGTATTTTCAACAGGTCTGAAGGGGTCAGATTTATGATTTTCAATAACTATATTAACAAAAAGCTAAAATGATGACAGAAAAAAAATGAAAATGGTTTCTATCATTTACAGTCTAATTCTTGAAACTTGCCACCTAAACATGTCAGAAGACCTAGTCACTTTATTCCTTTATTTTAATGCTGCAGATTATTCATGCAGAGAATTTAAAAAGCTTAGTGTCTTCATCCAAAAGAACCAACTAATGTGACCCAAGTAATATTGGCAAAGAAAAAAAAATTAAATAGTTATTTATGGGGTGTTTTTAGTAGTTCTGAATAAAAACATTCCATATTTTTATACCCTTATTGTATCAAATAGTTAATTTCTTAAATTCTGTACAAGAAAGAGTCCATGGTTTTAAAAGAACTGTTGGATACAAGAGTAGCTTAACTCATGTTTGCCAACACATGTGTATGCATTTTCTCGTAGAGATATAACTTTGCAGCCTTGGAGTTTCTCCCTTTCCCCCAGAGCTGGAGCCATCTCAGGTCCTGGTGCTTTTGCAGGGAGGCACCGCTCCCGGTGACTCCTGACTCAGTGAGAACCAGGAGCCCAGGAGCTGACCTGGGCAAGGAAAGCAGGAGTCATGGAGAGCACAGGGTATTCTGTGGGTCACAGGATGTGATTTAGTTGTGATAAACTGAGTTTAAGAACCTAGAACAATCAGGGGATACCAACTTTCGCATGGTTTTAAATTTTGTGCGTATTTTAAATGTGTTTTTGGAAGCTTTATATGTTGTTTTCATGCCTCTGGCTTGTCTTTGTTGTGTAATAATAAAGCAATAAACTCAACAGGTTGCCTGTGTCTAGTGCAACTTGCATAGTGATTGATGGCACTGGGACTCTGGTCTTTTGTTCACTCCTAAGGCCTGGAATGATAATTTTGAAACTTTATGTCATATCTTATGCCTCAATTAATTTGAGCCTGTCAGAACTTCATTCTCTGGGTGCAACTTATCATTGCTCACGTACTGTCAGAATAATGCACATACATAAGCATGCTTTCAATGTTAAAGTGATTCTTCTGGAGTTTGGATGATAAACTTCATTAGTCAGCAGTGGAAAGTGAATGTGACATGACCAACACAGTGTCACATACTGATGCTGGTTGTAAGGGAGACTGACTCAATTCATTGCAGACATTAACAGTGACAGCAGTAAAAACTGCTGAATGTCAGTTTGATCAAGACTCTTTTTACCTCTTTGGTCAAAGCATTAATTCTGCAAAAATCATTAACTTTGATTAATAATTTTTAAGTCTTTTCAGCTGCAATATATCTCACCCAGTAATGTGGACAATTGCAAAAAACATAAGACACCCAATACTAAGTCTAGACTAGCCCATTTTAACAGTTAATCTATAGATTATGTCTCTCATATGTTTCTTGGCAAATAGTAAGGGTCTTCATTTAAATTTAGCCATTTAAGCTCTTCTCTATCTGTAGGCTGAATTAATCATTCTAATTTGTGGAGGTGATCCCCTAAAATGTGTATCTAAAAGAGCTATGTTCTCTTACACTTCAAAATTTATTTTTTTCTTCTTATTTTATATCAACAGAACAGAGACAAATAGCTCAAAAAAAAAAAAAAAAGACATTTAGGCATATAATTTACTAAAGCTGGATGAGATAAATCCTATCTCCCAAATCATACTATATTGTCTTGAGAGAACTTGATCCGGATGAAGGGCTGAGAGTGCTCCATCCTAAAAGGGCCAAAAGCTGCATACAGAAGAACTGAGAAGGATTCCTGGTGGCTTCTGCCCTGAGGACAGGTGACACAAATGAGAAAGAATAAACATATTGGGCTGACAATTATGGTCACTTTGTCCATATACAACTGTCTCAGGGAAATCTGATGAACATGAAGCAAGGCATATGGAAGGTATTAATGAAAAATTCCTAAAGCTCAACACTTGCACAAATTATTCCAACAGACACTGAAAAGCTGCCTGAAAATTCAGACCAAAAGCACAAAGATCTCTGTAACCACAGATATCACTTAACTGGTCTGATGAAGATGGGTTTCTTTTCTTCAGAATCATCTTAAATCTGTTACTATTTCAACCTTGTGGTCCTATGTGTTAGAGAGATACTTGAGTTGACAGGCTTGGATATGCAGTTAATAAGCCATTAAATTGCTGAGCATTTATAAAAAATGAATCAATGTTTCAGATGTCCCAGGAGACTTATAATTAATAAAAGCCTCATCCTGGAAGTGAAGTATTTAAAATAGAACACACTTTCTAAAAGAATTGGCAATAACAAATGTCCTACCTTTGCAGATTCTTTATAAAAACTAAAATGCTCACTCTACTAGGAGTTTACAAATAAATAAATAAATAAAAATATTCTGGTTTTCCTGATTGTTTAGAGACACAAACTGCAAATGCACTGACATTTTAGAGGTGACTAAGCCTCTGTCAGCTCACAGAGAAAATGACTGCGGTAACAGGGTCTGTGGGAGCCACACTGCCCAACAAAGGCAACACAGCATGTATGTACAGAGCTGCTTTGCTACAATCCCCAAAGTCCTCAATCAGTGTAACTGAACAACAAAACACTGCTTATAAAACCATGAGAGCCAACACAGGCACTGCTTGTTCTGCTGGCCACACCAATAGGATTTACTTTGGTGGGGAGAGGAGGGGGAAGAGGGGATGGGCTGTCTTACACCCATGCTCGTGTATTTCATTTTGATACACAGCACATGCCAGCGCCTGCTTCTTGTGTGCTGCCTAGTCATTGTTCACACAGAATTTGCCTGGGAGAAGCATATTATAGGCATAGAATTCCAGGAAAAATGCAGGTAAATATTGCCTCTTGATCCACTTGGAGCTGAAACAAATTGTCCTGGAAATTGCTCCTCAGCAATGGTCTCTTATGTGGCACATTTCGAATAACTACAAAGAATGATCTTTCTAACGATTTCTACAATACACATCTGAGACCAAATCCTGCCTTTGCCTCTTTCACTGTGGAAGTATCCTGGCAACAGCGGCAGTGCTGCTGTTAGGATCTCTGGGCTCCATCCCTTCCTGCTTAGCTGTGCAGGAAGGGCACTAAGCGCCAGAGCAATGCCAACAGATGCAATCTTGTGTGGAAGGGATGAGCAAGGCTTGTGCAGCATGTGGTGGCAGTGGCAAGGGAGCAATACTGCAGCCCTTTGGAGAGCCAAGGCAAAGAACCAGACCCACTCTCACCCCTCTGCTCCTGGTCAGCCCTGCTATGGGGATGGATTCTGCAAAGGAATTTTCCCTTATATGTAATGTTAGGCAACAGCTAAAGTAAAGCATGTGGCAAAACCATCCTGGATGGTAAGATATCAAATTCAGTATACTTTGTAATGAAGCAGGAATTGAAAGAGTATATATAAACTTCGCAATATGAAAACCTTTCTACAGAGCATAGAGGATTAGGTAATAGATTTTTTTTGTTTCACAGTAACCTATACATTTAGAGAACTTGCAAAATTTCATTTTATCTTCTCATCTGTATGATTTTCACTAGACTTCTACTTCAACAATCTGAGTTTCTAAGTTTACAAAAAAGGATTCACAGCAGTATTTCTCCAAGATATAAAAATCTGAATTCTTTAAATTTCTACATAAATAACAACAAAATAATTTCTTAAATTCTATTTCAGGATAAGAATTATTAAGTTCTGTAAAATATCGTCTTACTGAGAGGTAGAGAGGGAAATTTATTACCTTCTTCAGAATAGGCTGGGGTGCTTTCACCCAAGATACCAGAACCCCATTTTTTCTTCTGAAGCACTGTGATCCAAGAAGTAAAACAACAATTTTCTTTTAGGACTTGACATCTGAAACCCTTATCAGCTTTACGCAGGCTCTGAAACATTCCTGAAAAGTGTCCTCCAGTGGGCAGTGTCCTTATTGCCAAGTCTGTTTTAAAGGCACTGCCACACCTTTGTTAATATGGTGACTTTAGTCTTCCATTATATTGCTAAGTTTTCATGACAATTTACAAAATTTTATTTCATAAAGTGCTGAACAATCTTGTGAATGTCACCATTTGAGAATAAGAAGACTCAAAACACAGAGACTATTTGTCTGAACAAATTACAGTTCTCTAGACTCCCTCTATAGTCAATGGAGAGGAACAGGCACTTGTGAATGATTTCCTAACACAGAAATGTAAACCAGGTTACAATCCATGCTCAGAAAGAAGGTTTTTTCCTCTTTGGTCTATGAAGAGGGTTCAAGGAGACTAATTCAGAGACAGAAATCTTTACAGTAGCTGAGGCAAGTGAGATGACTCCCCAAAACAGAGTTAAGTAATTATTTTAGGCTTCAGAGAAATCCTAATATTCAGTATTCCTGCCTTTCCCTCTTGCAAGAACATCCTTACCTGAACATGCATATTCTCACTGCAGAAGGAGGTAAGTGAGGACTCTGAATAACAGAAACTCACTGCAAAGTAAGAAGGAAGAACAGACCTGGTGTTACTGTCACGTCATTTCCATTGACCACAGGTCTTTCTTCCTCTTCTTCCTCTGGTGGTTCAATGCCTGTCTTCTCCATATTGCTCACAGACTTATTCCTTTTACGTTTGCCTTCAGCCCCGGGAGTGGCTCCTGGGAGGATCTGGTCTGTCACATTTAACAGCAACGGAGCCGGTTCTGCTGGAGGCTTTGGAGTGCCGTAATAGTTGTCTGGAAAGAAAAGAAAAGGAATAACACCTAAGATTGCAGAAATACACAGGCTGCTGCTTCTTCTTTTGTCTCAGATTAATGGATATGTGAGGTAGGATCTGGCTCATCAGCTAAAGTAAAGAATAGTTCAAAATGTTTTCTGCAAAATGGAATGTTTACCTCTCCTGAAATGGTAAATAATTTTCTTTGTGGTAGCACAAGTTATCCAATCATGCTCACAAACATGTATCTTATTACAATTTCTGAAACTATAACATGTTAAGTTTACATTTCCTTCATCCAAATACCTGACCAACTAGTTGCATACCAGAGCTGTTCTCTTATTTCAAATCATTAGTTAGGACAAATTAGTTTTGCAACATTTATGCCACAAAACGAGTTTCTTAAGGATCAAAATTATTATGAGAATATTGACTATTTATCATGTTATGTAATTTGTAATTTTCACTCCTTCAAATTATCTCACCTGCTTAGAAAGTAAATATTCATCCAATGATTCAGAGATTTGCAGTTTTCAGGAACACTTTCACTATCTTATTTTTCCATATTTGTAAAATTTTTGCTGTTCATGACTTCAAAATTTGTCATAGTTAATGCTAATATATTTTCAAAAAACCTTTGAAAATAAGATTGAAACCTTATGCTTTAGGGCTTAGCATTATCTCAAAGTACTAAGGAATTCTGAGAAGACCTAAGGTGGCTGACAGATTACCGTCTATTTGTGTCTTCTGAAATTTCTGGCAACTTCCTCTGAGTAATCTACATTCTTTCAGAAGGATTATTAAATTAGATGGACCACGGTCCCATTCTTATCTATCAATATCTGTATGTTTGCATTTTTAGCACATCTGATCTCAAAATTAGTGTCTTGCTGACACGACAAATTTTTCATTAAAAATATGGTTAAAAAGAGATCGGTAACACAATTAATAATATTTTTAAAAGCATGTGCTTCCTAGAAATAAACATAAATAGTATGGCAATATTATAGCAGTATTATTGTAACCACACACATAGGCATGACAAAAATAAATGCATATGTTATACATGCACAGTAAACCATCATAAAATACATTTTGCAGGCAGAGTAAAAATTATTACAGGCACTTGTATTTCTGTGTGTTTCCAAGAGGTACAATATTCAGCCACATGACCACTTCAAAACAGGTAAGTAACTGGACAGCCTTGCAACTACTGAATACTCTGAATTTTTCACAGCAGTTTAGAAAAGCAATATTAATAATAGATGTTTCTGTAATTTTAATACACAGTAAAAATATACTGTTTATGACACTCATAGTCACTCTGAACTTAGGGATGTCTGACCGAAATTTTGACCCATTGCAGATTTTCTTAGGATTTTGAGAGATGGCAGCAGGTTTAACCAAGAGCCCCAGCCAGCAGGGCAATGAGATGTGGCTCTGTAGGGGTGACTGTGGGAGCTGTGCCTCCAAAAAACGTAAAGACCAGATCTGTTTGCAGTCAAAATTTCTATGCTCTGACAGTACAGAGTTTTGAGAGTATCTGAAAACCAACAGCGCTCAGTTGGAAGTCTACTTTTCTATTGCTCTAAGGTCGTGTTACCTTTATTGGTGAGATTGTGTGCCTTTAATATCACATACTTTGAAAATAGGATTCCTCAATTTAAAAAGCTCCCTGGCCTAAGCCATTTTACCAGTTTCAATCAGTGCCTCAGAGGCCTTAAGCTTGACAAAACTTGCCAAATATGCACTGATTTCCACTATCAGATTTCCACTGATTCCATAAATATCAGAAGATATATCCCAGGGATATTGTACTAGTGTGACACAAATTGTGAAACTAAAATGCAGTACCTTGGCTTTTTTTCCTTTGTTCTTAGTTCTCTCATTGTCATACAAAATTGAGTGCAGTGATAATTAGCAGTAATGCTAATATCCTGAATAGCAGATTAGGTGTTTTAACTGAAGGACACTCTCATGTAATTTTAAAATATTAGACACTTTTTCACTTTGATTGACTGTATGCATTAGTGAGAGACAGAAATAAAATTCACACACACACAAAAAATCTATGAATCTCCCATATATAAAAATGTAAGAAAAAATTGCACATATAAGATTAGGGGCCAAAGTGGATTTAACACATTCAATTTCAAATGGAAAATAATGTATAATTTCCACTTCTGTCCTACAACATAAAACTTTATATGCTTTATGATCCAGTAATTATTGATTTAAAAGTGAGTTTTAAATTATTATTGCTAGCTACTTATTGATCTGTACCTTTAATTCAAAAATATGCAAAAACAATGCAAACAAAAATAAGAAACTATACAGATACTGATACAATCAGTGTGTCATTTAAAAATTAGCTAAACTCCAATGGAAAAAATATACAGAGTGAGAGATCCAGCCATTTCAATGAAGGAGTAATGTTCCATTACAGAAAAATTAAATCAATGTAAACTGTATCTTTTATCAGGAAGAGATTCTCAATGTCTTGAAATTCCTTACTTATTACTTGGGAGACTAGAGATGATGGGAGACTCTTATGTCAAATGTCATATCTAGGCATAATGTAGAGATTAAATGTTTAAAAACCATGACTTTTGTTGCCATTAAATTTTGAAAATCTCTGATCACTTTTTTATCTTCCCTAAGCAAGGGGAATGGTTCAATAGGTTACTGTTGAAGCACTAATCATAAGGTATTGAAATTCATTTTCCTGTAGGTAAAAAAAGGGAACATTAAATAAACAATTCCAACTGTAGTCAATTAAAAAAAAAAAAAAAAAAAAAAAAAAAAAAAAAGAAAGAAAGAAAGAAAGAAAGAAAGAAAGAAAGAAAGAAAGAAAAAAAAAAAAAAAAAAGAAAAAAAAGAAAAAAAAAGAAAAAAAAAAAAAAAGAAAGAAAAAAAAAGAAAAAAAAAAGAGAAAGAAGAAAGTGTATTAGTAGAAAATATAAATCCCATGCTCATTGGCAGTCAGAAAAACAGCAGTTAGGAGGCTTTTTAAAAAAATTAATGGAGCACAAAACAGACAACAACACCTTTATAGCACTATACAAAACAACATACTACCCTTTCTTTTTGTATACTGCCTGCTGTTCTGGTACTTGCCTCTCAAAAATTACATGGGGGAATTAAAGAAGGGCAATTAAAGCTTAGAACTGCTTAAATTTATTTTGAGTTTTCAGCTTGGAAATGGGACAACTCAAGGGGAATATGGCAGACATATATAAAAACAGGACAACCCTGGGAAAGTGCCTAGTAAATCGATGAATGGATGCTTAGCTTCCCACTACTTGAGAATAAGAGGATGCCCAATGAAATTAACAGGTTTAAGACAAGGAAAGGAAGTGTTTTTTTTTTTTTTTTCTACATAGCAAGAGAATAGTGGCATTCACTGTCAGATGCTGCCAGTATCGTAAATGCAGTCAAAAAGCAATTATACAAAGTCATAGAAGAAAAAAGACCATGAAAGCCTATTAAATCTAAAGGTACAAATTCTGAATCAAGAGTTCCATACAATCAGATTGGTAGAGTGCAGAATGTAACTCTGCATGCTTTCCCTGTTATTGTGTTTTATGCCTTAATATCTTACAGGTCTCTTCCAATCTTCGTGATTCTGTGATCTACCAAGGGGCAGGAGGTGCGAAATTTTCCCTCCATTTGACTAAGTGCAGCTGCTCTATTACTCAGGTTCCTCCTTGCTGTACTCAAAAAAATCTCTGTGTACTTACCTGCCACCCCTGCACAGTCAAGAGGTCAGTTTAAGCCTAAGTGAAGTTCTTTGTGCTGGGCCTGAATCAAAGCCTCTGTGCAGACAGGCAGTGCAGAAAAAGCACCTCTGCTGAATCCATCTGGCTGCTGCTCCTGATTGCTCCAGTGCTTCCAGCTGCTTCTGAGTGCAGCTGAACACTGAAGATGGTCTGGCCTAACCTATGTGACTTGGCTGCCAAAGTGGCTCAGAAGCCATGGCATAGTGACAATTACCAAGTGTCCCTTGCCAGCCCTGAACTGCATGAACCCTGGTCAGCACCCTGATTCTAAAAGGAAGAGTCAGACAAATTAATGGATAGGCTTGCTCTGATGACAGAAACCAGATCAGGAAGTCAGAAAGTCAGAAGAAGGAGAAAAATGAAGAAATAAGGAGGAGGAAACAGCTTTTTTTTTTTTTTTTTTTTTTTTTTTTTTTTTTTTTTTTTAACTTAAATTTATTTTTCCTATGTCAGGATGTAGTAAGACTTTTATTTTATCGATTAAGTGTTTGATGAGGAAGCAATATCCTAACTTGCTTCCTGAGAAAAGGTAAGCCTTTGAGGAAGAAAAAAAGAGCACTTGGGTGGTAGTAAAGAAGCAGAAAAATCCTCATGTTAAAATGATAAGAAGTCTCAGATATACTGAGAGTGCCTATACTGGTGTGCTCAGCACCCAGTGACCCCAGTTACTGGGCACAGTTAGAAATGTGTCTCCCTGTCGTGCTCTACTTTCTGCTCCATTGCAGGAACTGACCTATATGCATTTTCCTCCGCCTGGCCTCACCAGTCCCTCTCCCTTTCTGTGAGGAAAGATCCAAATGAAGCATAAATTGGACATCTCCTCTTGCCATCCTTCTGGGCAGAGAAGGGAGAGGAAGGGCTTTGTGCCAGGTCTGCACTCCAGGCTGCAGAGGAGGTGGTGCTCCTTTTTTCTCTTGGGTCAGGCCAGCCTGAGCCATCGGGTTGTGAAAAAAGGAGACCACTGCTGAGACCACCCTTTCCTCCTGAAGCTCCACTGATCTCAGGTAAGAAATTAAAAACTCTAGTTTAAAACTGTTATGAAAAGTTAAAACAGTGATGAGGAATTAGAAAATTATAGTAAAAATGAACAACCAGACAGAAAACAAGAGGTGTGCCAGAGCTAGAAGCTTTTAGGGTGAATACTTCCAGCTATGGTATGAGTCACATTCTCAGCCCAGAGCAGAGATACATTCCTTTTCACACTTATTTTTAGAGCGAGATGAAACAATACCCAGCTACA